ACAAGCTTCAATCTCAATAAAAAGAGAAACCTCAGAATCTTTTGTTTTTGCTGCAGCTGCGTGTTTCATGAATTTGCCAAAATTTAGACCTTAGAAAAAATGATTTTCTAAAGTTCAATCAGCAGTTTCCGTATAATTCGAGATTTGCTCTATTTCTGCCATGGTTAACCTTTTCTAAAACTCTGAAATGAAATTTTCAGAATTAGCCGATAGCAGATAGAAATGACGGATGAAGAACTTTGGCAATTTTAAAAAATTCATACAGGGTTATGGCACGAAAATGTATCCATAAGAAAGAGTAGGAAAAACTGCATCAAATGCATGTTGAAAGATATTTGGGTCTTTATTGCAAAAAGCCGACAAAACCTTCGGGACAACCTGATACTTTTCCGAAATATGACCAATTACCTCCAGCGAGCTGTCGCCTTGAGAGGTCATTGTGGTTAGGCATGCTCGCACCTCTGTTCTTCCAGATTCGAGTGATCAAGGCGTTCCAGTCCGTTAATGACAGCTCTCATCCGAATTCGTTGACCACATCGACTGCCGATCGACTCCGGGCTAGCTATCGTCGGCTGAAGATTGCTAGAGAGCTCGAGCAACAAAAGAGTTCGTGGTTGTCTGCACTTTCTATAGAGAACTAACTTAGATAGCTTCCATTTGAAGCGTTAGGCACCAGAAAATCACTCAGCACGCCCCAAAGAGATATTTCAGTTTGCTGCGTTTATATTTCGGAGCATTTTCACAAATTTGAGTTCATGAAAGTAAAGGCAGTGGCAAGGTAGATCTGGATGCCAGGGCGATATTTACCAATCTCAAGGTCTCTAAGAGGCGCTGTACCGTTATAAGCAAGCAACATTGCCCGATCGGGCGCTCTTCCCCGGTAAGAGACTTGGACAATGGTAAATATCAACTGTGGACTCCTCTAATGTGTACTGGTTGTGAGGACTCAAACAAGCTGCAAACTACAACTCCCAAAAGTAGTCTAGAAAACCAACTCTCGACATTGCCGTTACCGTACCTGGAGAGGCTCATTGGTCCGCTTAAAGCACGGTAATGGACGAGAGTTTTGAGTTGAGTTTCTTGGACAAGCAAGCCATCTAGAGTGCAGCTTGGGGAGTGGTTTGAATAAGATTGAATAAGACCTCCCAATCAGTTTGAGCATAAGG